CGATTCCCACCTCGCGACGACCGAGGTGAAGGACGATTTCGTAAAGACGATTATTCCGTTTAGAGGTTTCCGCGGATAGAGGTGTTCCGCGTATCGACTGTTTCCGTGATAGAGGATTTCGTATCAACCATTCCTGTTTCGGAGTTTATACACCGAGGAGTTCCGCGTATCGGTTTCTCCCGTGTAAAGGAGTGCGGCACGATTAATTCCGTACTGAGGATTCGGGGTCGATTCTTATCCGTATCGAGGATTCCCGAGTTGAGGGTATCGAGTCGAGGATTAACAGTGATCGGCGTGGTTTCTAATGCCGGAGTTTTTACAGTGCCCACGATTGAACGTGATCGACGAGTCATACAGTGTCGAGTTCCACGTGTCGAGTATTCCACCGTGCGGACCCCAAGAGCTGGTGAATACATTACCATACGAGTGAGACCTGCCTGGTGGAGGATACCAAGGTGGACCCCAGCCTTGGTGAATACAGTACCATAGAGTGCGACCTGCCCGGTGGACTACGCGTCGGACGTTCAACCGTGCGGACCCCACTCGCTGGAAAATACAGCATCTCGGTGTAGGATACACTGCGGCGGCTTCAGCATTGGTGAATACAGCACCTTTCGAGTGCGACCTGCACGGCGAAGGACACACCGATTACATTCGCGTGTCCGCGAACGTTCGAGCGATGGCTGTCTCCTGTGGTCCAGTGAGAAGACGTACGTGAGGGAGCAGCCACCGTATTCGCGAGGTTCCCGAATATAGGACGTGCTTGTGCCAGGTACCCCTGCACATTATTCTGTAACTCACCACTTAACGGGTCTCAGCCTGGCCGATAAGTTAATCGGAGTAACATAGCGCTGAGACTTCAGGCCCTCCCGAGGCCTCCACTCTTACAAGGTGCAACGAGGAGGTGAGCAGTGACAGCAGAACACCGTTCGTTGAGTAATCAACATATACGGCTGCGGTCCCTTTTCGGAGTAATTCGAAAGACCGAAGCAGAGTGCGGAAAGCCTCCGGAAAATACAGTCCACTCAGCACGCTGCTGATCTGATTCAGCGTGCGGCTCTAACATTGACTTGAGTCTATATTTATTGAGTTGTATTTTGCAGTGATCGTGTGCGACGACGAGAGCGTTCCCCGAGCCGCGAC